GTTTGGGTTTGAGATGTGTTTGACGTGTGGATTGGTCATTCTGGTTGGACGCTTGGCCTATCAGGCAACTCAATTCTAGAAGATGTCAGCATGTCTGCGGCGTGTGCAAGTTCTTTGTTCTGAAAACTGTTACACATTATGTCCCTATTCAGGAATATTTTTTCAGAAATGCTAATTTATTTACCTAGAAAATTGACACAGTCAGAGTCCACTATTAAAGATCTGTCAAAGGGAAGTGATATCATTGTATTAAATAGTACAGTGATGTTTAGAAAATATGCATGTAATACATATAGGAATCAATCACACAAGTGTCAGAATTGTTAGTATTTGAAGATTGAACGTACATACATACAAAGTGAAAGTTGAAATTGTATGATCACAAAAATTACACGAGGCTTTTCTTCTTCTATTCAACTCTTACTGTATTAAAATTGAAATTTTACAAAGAAAATTGTTGACCTTTTTTAAAAGGATAGATGTATGTAGATGTCCTTTTCCTTTTCTTGTCGTAAAGTATTTATGTACAAAAATTTAAAATGTTATGATGAGAACTTTCAAAGTTAAAAAGTCACAATAAGAGTGCTGACTGACAAATGTGTAAATTGACAAATGGACCAAAAAATTAACAGATATCTTCCTCTTCTGGTAAACTCTCTGTATAATTTTTGAATAGTTATAAAAATTGAGTTACATGTAGATATACATTCAGGCACACTTGCAGATAAACACAATGATATGACTACAATCTATACATGTCTTGCTCTTTTATCGTTAGTGATCAACTATTCCCGTTTGTCTGTAGGTACGGGAAATTAAGGCTGTCAATTGAATGCTTCCTATCAAATACTATATTTTGTTGGGTTTTAAAAAAATAAATGGATAATTGTATTTTGCACTTCTTACTGATCTGTGGCCTTCACCAGTATCTACAGTAGTATATCTATTTTTATGAGGTGTTCGGGGAGGTGTCAGAGGTGTGAGAGGTACCGGGGTCCTGGCAGAAGAAGAGGCAGGTCAAAAGGAAGTCGGAAAAGGGCCTACACGGGACGCCCTTACACTTGAGGAAGTTAATCAGAGGGCAGAAATCTTACAAGAAAATACCAAAGTTAGAAATATAATGTCAGCTAGTTATGTGTTCGTTGGTCTGTTTTAATATCTGTTACTCTGTGTTAGGTAACAATTTTCAGGAAATATAAATATATACTGTTCATGATATTATTCAATAATTTCATTTAAGAACTTTTCTGTAATGATCCTTGATGAGGCTGTACTAGCACGGGCAAGATGTAAAGGACTGATGTTTTAGTTTTTGATGATGATGCAGACTGGAACAAGGTCAGCAGATATCTAGGATACCGGCAGTATATCCTGTGGTGGCTTATGGGTGGCTTAGGGACTGGGGACAGGAGAGTAATACCTTCCTGCTGTGTATGGAAGATAAGGAACAAATATCTAGATCCCTTTAGGCAATACACTGAATTCGTTCCTGGTAGACTAAGTTTACTTTAAACTGTAGTGTTGTATACAGATTTTGTAAATTTGAGATATGCTATACGTTTGTAATAAGTATATTCAAGCAGTATGTACATACATGTATATAATAACCGAGCCCTGAGAAAATTAAGCGTTCTATTGTCTTATTGCTAAAAAATCTTATTATTTCCATGGCATGATTCTCCTTTTTTCTCACTGTAGTAATGTAATATAAAATAATATCTTTAATTAACAAATTCTATCATTTACAAAACCCCTGTAGGGTGAGTTAACCATGCACCGGGCACATACCTTGCTTCGGACAACTTTAAGCAATGAACTTTGATAGAACCTGAGTCTCTCCGTGCTTTAATTGTTTCTGTCTTAAAGGTGAAGATTTAAAGTTTTTAGTGATGCCGATTTTATTTTCATGTTGTGATTAAAATACCACGAGAATTGCCTTGAAATTACGTCAAATTTTCATCAACAAAGGGGAGTAACCAGAATTTTACGATTTTGCATTTTTTAGAGTTGTCGTTCTTTAAATAGACTTCAACGGAACGAGTCGGACCTGGGTAAAATTTGTCAGTAATTGATAATTTTAAAGAATTTTTTCAAAAATTTTACTTTAGTTTTTGTATATATTTTAGAGTTGTTTTTATTTACTACTGTAGTATGTTTATTTCACCGTATATCGGACACAAATTAACCATGCATCGGACACTTTTCGATGCATTGGTAATCATTTCAGTTTTTATATAAAACCCAAATGATAGCTGTTTTATACGGAAATAGAAAATAAAAACTCTAAATCTTCAGTGAAAATACAAGTTATCGATATATGACGACTAGAAGTGGACTCAATTTATTTCTTTAAACCAGATGATGATAACCCACGAGACAAAGGTGCGAGCTGTCATATTACTAGCATTGTAAAGCCTTCTAAGGCGATGTGATGCAACTATAATCTCTTCACATTTGTGGATCGACATAGTCATTCAAATTTAACTAGAAAGTTAATTTTTAAATAAAAGATAAAAATGTTTCGATATAACTAATTTTAAAGCACCGAGATCAAGGTATGATATTTTTCTGGTTTAAATACCGAATATCCGATGCATGGTGTACATTGTCCGATTCATTGTGAGTTCTGACTTATTTTGAAAAAATCGGTGTTTAGTTTTCTCAGTAAATAGCACACGATTGTGTCAAAAATTTATATTTTAACCACATACTACATGTTGAGTTCCATTTTGAAAACATGCGGTCGGTAACGATATCGATAGAACTTGTTGAAGTGCGAGGGTGTCCGATGCATGGGGAATTCACCCTATTATATTTTCGTCAATTTGACATACTTTGACCATTACCGCCATCTGCCATTTTGAACCTCGACAAACCCTTCTTCAGAGCGGGGTCGACTTCGATATCAAGCCCAGTAGAATTGGGACCGGAACTCTTGTGCTCTTACCTGAGTGCCTCGACTCGAGACGGAACTCTAGTCTTAGATAAAAACGCTCAATGTGCGACAGAACTAGGAAAACCGACATCATCAAAGGAAGTGATATTTCTGTCCAGAAGAGAACTACATTTGCTATGCCAGTACATCACGTGCTAATGGGTACTTGGACCTAACCTATAAGGAGAAGGTTTGCTTATATGATATCTTTTTATCTATATCTATCTATCTATCCAACTTTCTATAACTAACTTACTAATGTCGCCTCGTCCTTTCTGAGCTGTGTTAAAGATATGGCCGTCTTCTGTTCTTCGGCCTTCCAGATGGACTTTATCGCCTTGTTTGCTGACGAGGGGTTAAGTGCTGAGGGGCTGCTTGTCTTGGAGGGGGAGGTTAGGAACACAGCAGACTTCTCCTCCTCTAGGTCACTGGTGAAGCCAGGAAGCCTTGGTCGGATCTTAGAGTGGTATCTCCCCATGTATCTCTATAGCTCCTCAGAGAATACCAGAGTTATAGGTGAAATATGACCAGTCATGTGTTGAGAAATCTGAAAAAATAATGTTAAAGATCCTGATCCTTCCTTCACATACATGACATACATGAGATATACTGAAACGCAAAAGTAAAGCAACATCCTTTTTTTTGCGGGGGGGGGGGGGGGGGGAGTATATATATAGGTTATAACTTTGTACTTCAAATGTTAGGACATCTTCATCTCTGCCAAGTCACTAATTTAACGGTTGAATAATTTTCATTCCATTACCGGAAGTTGATTTTTAGCCCTCTTCACAGAAATCAAAAATTGCATGTTTAATAAAACATTTGACAATAATTTGGGTTTTCAAGGGTTTGTAGCTGTTAATCATAAGTATTGAACTAATATTCCGAGAGAAAAAATCCTTCTTTCTTTTCCCGATGTGATGCCAAATTAAATTGACTGATAGCGCGCATTTTCATTGCTCTTGCTGGAAATTACGGTGGAACTCTCAAATGTTAGCGACTGGGTAGGGAATGAAACAGGGTTAGTAAATTTTATACCTGGCGAGCCCATTCACTACAGAACTTTGTAATGAACTTATCTAACCGATGACATGAATATATGATTCTCCCTGGTATATTTCATCACTCCCGTCTGTAAAGTGCTATAATGTTGTGTGGGTTACGGGGAGAAGTAACGTGAAGAGAAGAAATAATGTTTGCTCCTTACTGGTATTAGTCACTCGGCAAACCTCGTGTCTGTTGATAATAACAGAGGTTGTTCTTAGTCTATAAACTCCATACTGACCGTGTATTGCTCCTCGTGTCTATTGATAATTATAAAGGTTGTTCTTAGTGTAAAAAAGAGCTCCATACTGACCATGTTTTCAAGTTACCATGAACAAGTATTGCACTCACTTCACGTGTTAGACTTGAACTAATCGTAAACCTGGATGTCAGCTAAAAGGTTATCAAAGGAAGGTTAAAACGCTTTATTTAAAAATGATTATATAATCTAAGATGTATGCTGAATATGATTCCGTCCTGAACTTCTGGATTGAGTCCTTTATTAAACGATCTAACCTACTCTGTTGTTTCCTTGATAATTTACGATGATATCCTTCAAAATCACATTATGCAATTAATCACATTTAGAAATACTTTAAAACACATTAGAATTCTTTGATCCCTTCTGTTTGTTTATTCTTTTGACTGTTTCAATGTTTTCAAGAAGATATTAATTCCTAATACATGTATGTATGTTGTTTAAAACAATTTAAGATGTATCTGTATCATTTTTTATATTTAAAAATCAAATCAAAATTCTGTAGTGAATTTGTCTTTAACTGAGTATTAAATACTTTCTGGCATTCAATATTTGTACCATAAAACATGTAGAAGTAGGATGCATTTAACACTTTTATATCTTTGACAATTAATCGGTTGCTTACTTCATTTTCTTCCCTTCATTCTTCGTCTCAAAAGACGACAGTTCCGTCTCCTCCGTCTGTCCAGCCTCATCCTCAACAGGATCCTGAGCAGACTGAGGGGATTTTCGCTACAACTCCACGGTCTGCTCAAGTTCTGGTCAAAGAAGTGCTAGAACAGGCTGAGGGTACGGTAGTCTCACTTTCTCTAACTGTACAAACTCTGGCTGAAGATTAGCTATCACACACTGAGGGGATGTCACGGTCTGCTCAAGTTCTGGCCAAGGAAGAGCTAGGACAGGCTGAGGTGACGGCAGTCTCACTTTATCTGTCTGTACAAGCTCTGACTGAGGATCAGCTTTACAGACTAAGGAGATGGCACAGTCTGCTCAAGTTCTGGCCAAGGAAAAGCTAGAACAGGCTGAGGGGACGGTAGTCTCACTCCATCTGTCTGTACACGTTCTCCACGGTCTGCTCAAGTTCTGGCCAAGGAAGAGCTAGGACAGGCTGAGGGGACGGTAGTCTCACTTTCTCTAATTGTACAAATTCTGGCTGAAGATTAGCTATCACACACTGAGGGGATGTCACGGTCTGCTCAAGTTCTGGCCAAGGAAGAGCTAGGACAGGCTGAGGAGACGGTAGTCTCACTTTCTCTAAATGTACAAACTTTGGCTGAAGATTAGCTATCACACACTGAGGGGATGGCACGGTCTGCTCAAGTTCTGGCCAAGGAAAAGCTAGAACAGGCTGAGGGTACGGTAGTCTCACTTCATCTGTCTGTACTCGTTCTCCACGGTCTGCTCAAGTTCTGGCCAAGGATGAGCTAGGACAGGCTGAGGGGACGGTAGTCTCACTTTCTCTAATTGTACAAATTCTGGCTGAAGATTAGCTATCACACACTGAGGGGATGTCACGGTCTGCTCAAGTTCTGGCCAAGGAAAAGCTAGGACAGGCTGAGGAGACGGTAGTCTCACTTTCTCTAAATGTACAAACTCTGGCTGAAGATTAGCTATCACACACTGAGGGGATGGCACGGTCTGCTCAAGTTCTGGCCAAGGAAAAGCTAGGACAGGCTGAGGGGACGGCAGTCTCACTTCATCTGTTTGTACAAGCTCTGACTGAGGATCAGCTTTACCGACTGAGGGGATGGCACAGTCTGCTCAAGTTCTGGCCAAGGAAGAGCTAGGACAGGCTGAGGGGACGGTAGTCTCACTTCATCTGTCTGTACACGTTATCCACGGTCTGCTCAAGTTCTGGTGAAAGAAGTGCTAGAACAGGCTGAGGGTACGGTAGTCTCACTTTCTCTAACTGTACAAACTCTGGCTGGAGAGTAGCTATCACACACTGAGGGGATGTCACGGTCTGCTCAAGTTCTGGCCAAGGGAAAGCTAGGACAGGCTGAGGGTACGGTAGTCTCACTTTCTCTAACTGTACAAGTCGCCCGCATGGCGCAGTGGTTAGAGCGTCTCCTCTAGAGTGGTGAAGTAAGGAGATGATCCTTACGTCGCGGGTTCGAATCCCACTGTGGGACGTGGAGACCGGTCCTTCGGATGAGACCGTATAAACCGAGGTCCCCGTGTCGCAGTAGGTGCTGGCACGAAAAAGATCCCTCACTGCTCAATGGCCGAAAGTGCCGAGTATAGGACAAAATTTGCAGCTCTCCACCGGTAATGGTGGCGTCTCCATATGAGTGAAAAATTCTCGAGAGGGACGTTAAACAACATACAATCAATCAATCAATCTAACTGTACAAACTCTGGCTGAAGATTAGCTATCACACATTGAGGGGATGTCACGGTCTGCTCAAGTTCTGGCCAAGGAAGAGCTAGGACAGGCTGTGGGTACGGTAGTCTCACTTTCTCTAACTGTACAAACTCTGGCTGAAGATTAGCTATCACACACTGAGGGGATGGCACGGTCTGCTCAAGTTCTGGCCAAGGAAAAGCTAGGACAGGCTGAGGGGACGGCAGTCTCACTTCATCTGTCTGTACAAGCTCTGACTGAGGATCAGCTTTTGCAGACTGAGAAGAGGGCACAACCATCACTACATATTGATCAAGCTTTTACTAAGGAAGATCCTGATGGCCATACCCAGCTATCACTAAATTTTGTTCAAGCTTTTCCTTAGGAAGATCCTGCTCAGGCTGAGAAAGTGGCAGTGTCATATTCTCAGGTTGTTGAAGTGCATCTCCGGCTTTCACCGTCTGCTTCACCCTGGACGTCCGCACCGGGATGTCCAACAAGTAGGCCTCCATCTACTGGGAACGTCGCCTGATTCTCTGGATTCTTCCGAGCTCCATCTTAAAGAAAAAACAAGAGGCCGAAGGGCCTTAACGGTCACCTGAGTATAATACAACAATTTAGAAGTTAAATACACTGATAGTTGAAGCTTTGTTGCCCTAAAGCAAGAGAAGTAGGAAGATCAGGATCAACTAAATAATTAGTGCTTCTGTACTATTTATAAACCCATATTAAGACCTCTAGCATTGACCTCTCTTATGGTCTTTGAAGAACTTTTAATAAGATATTTTTGTCTCATTTTTATTTATCTATTACTTACAGGTCTACCTGTTTATTAAAACTAAGAAAGTACTTTTTTAATTATACGATAAACATTCTTGCATAATTATCTTATTCTATTAACCTTTCAAATACATTATTTACAGTGATTAATTATCAAAGGTGAATGGAAATGGGGAATAACTTCTCTCAGTAGAATACAAATTAATAGAGCCCTGCCCAGGACCAGAACGCTTAGACCAATGGTCCAGATGTTTAAAAATCTGGTAGAAATATGGTTACTCATATCATTTAAACTTTTACCCAGTTTGCTTCCAATATGCCAAGAAGCAGAGAAGAATTTCACAGGTACAATGCATTTTCACTACAGATTCAACAAAGCCTTACCTGAACACCAGAACCCAAGACCAAGGGTCAAGAAATTTACAAATTTGGAAGAGTTACCCTCATCATCATAACTATGGACTTCAAAGAATTAACATTTTTCCACTATATTATCAAAAGCCCCCCCCCCCCCCGTTATGCCAGAACCCCTGACCCTAGGACCACAAAATTTAAAATTCTGTTCGAAGCTCCCATTTTCATCATAGCTAAGCAATTTATTTATCAGCTCAACACTAAGGAGCAGACAGGATTAATTAATGATAAACAGAATTAATGCTTTTTCACTATATAATCAATAGAGCCCCCCCCCCCCCTCCTCAAGAACCCCCCAAAACTGAGGCCATATATTTAAAAATTTTGGAAGAGGCATCCTTGTCTATCATAATCATGTACTTAGTTTGTTTATATAATCTCCAGTAGCAGAGAAGATTTTCAAAGAATCAATGCATTTTCACTATATAATTTATAGAGCCCCGCCCTAACACCAGAACCCCTGACCCTGGGGCCATGAAATTCACAATTTTTGAAAAGGCATCCTTATGCATCATAACCATGCACTTAGTTTGTTTAAATAATCTCCAGTAGCAGAGAAGAAGATTTTCAAAGAATTAAAGCATTTTCACTATATAATCAATAGAGCCCCGCCCTAACACTAGAACCCCTGTCCCAGGGGCAATGGCTTTCACAATTCTGGAAGAGGCCCACCTCCTCATCATAACTATGTACTTAGTTCATGCCCAGGAGCAGAGGAGAAGATTTTCAAAGAATTAATGCATTTTCACCATATGGTCGATAGAGCCCCGCCCTAACACTAGAACCCCTTGACCCTGGGGCCATGAAATTCACAATTTTGGAAAAGGTACTCTTGCTCATCATAACTATGTACTTAGTTACTTTATTCAATATCCAGAAGCAGAGAAGAAGATTTTCAAAGAATTAATGCACTTTCACTATATAATCTATAGAGCCCCGCCCTAACACCAGCACCCCTGACCCTGGGGCCATGAATTTCACAATCTTGGAAGAGGCACTCTTGCTCATCATAACTATGTACTTAGTTCCTTTATTTAATACCCAGGAGCAAAGAAGAAGATTTTCAAAGAAATAATGCATTTTCACTATATAATCAATAGAGCCCCGCCCTAACACCAGAACCCCTGACCCTGGGGCCATGAATTTCACAATTTTGGAAGAGGCACTCTTGCTCATCATAACTATGTACTTAGTAACTTTATTTAATACCCAGGAGCAGAGAAGAAGATTTTCAAAGAAATAATGCACTTTCACTATATGATCTATATAGCCCCACCCTAGCACCAGAACCCCTGACCCTGGGGCCATGAATTTCACAATTTTGGTGGAGGGCTCCATGCTTATTACAATGATGCCAACAGTTTGTCTGCTTGATGTCCAGGAGTAAAGAAGAAGATTTTTAAAGATTGCATTATTTTTGGTGGTTTTAGCCCCACCCCTCAGGCCCCAGGGGGGCAGGGACCATGAAATTCACAATTTTTGTTCCCCTTCACCCATAGATGCTATATACCAAATTTGGTTGAAATTGGTTGAGCGGTTCCAGAGAAGAAGCTAAAAATGTTCAAAAGTTTACGACCGACGTACGACGACGGACAAAAACGGATAGCAATAGGTCACCTGAGTTTACTCAGGTGACCTAAAAAACTATGGCCTTACGGTACTGAACTTATATAGTTGAATATTGGCTATAAAAATGCACTTGCAAGATTGTGCATCTGTACAGCTAACTTATGTCAATATTCAATAAAACTCAGTATAAGTTCAAAAACTCTATAATACACTGTATATACCATGATGTACATATGTAAAAGTGCTGTGGAAGTCCCAATTTTATTAGTACCAACTGATTCTTTGAGTCTTTTACCTCTGATCTCTCAGGTTGTTTTTGGTCCCATTAATTAGTTCAAAATAATTAGGTGTGACTGTACTTCTTAAGCCTAAAGGTAACTTTACATCATAAGATGTATACAGAATAATATCACTATGTTTTTAGCATTCTTGTTATAGCATTTAGTATTCAATTCAAACACCAACTTACCTTTTCCAATCTCCAAGGCAAGTTTTTCACACCATAATCGTATCTTATTTCTTCCCCAGGCTTGATATAACGTGTTGCAAACAATGCCTAATAAAGTCTACGATCAAGATACAGTTGGATCATTTCGGCATCGTTTTCATGATCACTTCTGGCGGCATCATTCACATACCGCCCAATTCTTTTCGAAAATGTTGCATCAATACTGTAATAAAAGCAAAAATACTGAAAAAAATCAATGTATATAATTATCATTTTATATTTTTAAATAACAAGCATTCTGAGAGTATTGCATAAGCAATACATGTCCCCTACAGGGTTCCCTTTTTCCTTCAGGATGTCATTTTATAATACATGTATGCAGAAGTTATGACCAAGGTAAAACTGCTTAATTTAGAGGTTATGAATGTCTTTTGCCTAATAGAATAATCCATATAAAGACGAAAATTGAACTCATTTTTTCAACATCTTTTTCTCGCTTCATATTTACCATGTTGACCATCAGAATATAGCGCAGCACGAACCCGATCCTAAGCCATTATGATAAATTAAAAATGCTATAACTCTTGTCAAAAATCAATGAAGCAAAACGAAATTCAAACTTGATCTGTAACTCATTAAGATACACTCACATACCAAAATTGTGGAAAACCAAGTATGACAGACAGACAGGGACACATAGACAGATGGACAGATGCAGAGGAAACCTATAGTGTATTACTATTTCACCGGTAGGGGACTAAATATATACATCTTTTTTATCCTATACGCATTCTGAATGATTTACTTAAGTAAACAGTATAGCACTATCCAAGAGACCAATGGGTGAGTCATTCAATTTTTAATTGAATTACATGCTCATTTAGGAAAGAACTGCAAATGATAGCATTGTTCTCCTGTCTACCTCCTAGTCAATTTTAAACAGTGAACATTGAAATGACTTGTAATATTTATATTGATATTTAAATGGTTTTTCATAAAACACTCCTTTTCTTGAAAAACAAGAGATAACTATAATTTTGGTAAAACTTGTGTTTTTAACAATAGACATCAACAGAAAATATTTTTAAAATACCTGAGAGAGAAAGAGACCCATTTGTCGAAAGTGATTTTTGTCGCTTTTAATGCTAGACAAATAAATTTTAAAAATTAACTGTGTTAATATTCATATTTGATATTAACATCCGAGTACAACTAGTGCATACTATGTATGACACTGTTAAATGTTTTCATGTAAAGAATGCATAAAATGATATTTGTATTACTCCGTGTAAGAATAAATAAATATACATTGAATGATAATATACATTTTTTGATTTATTCAATTTAATAAACATTCATTAAAAATATGGAAAAATATCGTTTTATATATATGAAAAAAAACAACTACGAGTAAAGGTCAACACTACATGGAAATGAATGAAAACAAGAAATCTGTGAGCCAATGCTCACTAGGAATACCCTCGCTCTAGGGCTCGACATTAATGCTTGTCCGGTACCATTGAAAAAAAAAATTAAGGACAAGTGATTATTGCTGGGCGCTTGTCCAGTCTCCAAAATAATAATAACAGATCTGTTTACTCTTACGATTTCGCCGTATTTTGTACGGATTTTCAGTCCAAAATACGTCTTACGTTTTGCTATAACGAAAATACGGAAATCCGTTCATATGGATTTTAGCAATTAGTTTTCGTTATCTGTCTCAGTTTGACGCTTTTTAATCGCTAAAGAAGAGAAAATTTTCAAACATTAAGTTGCCAAAACGCGGTGGTTTAAAAAATGACAGAAATCACTCAAAAGAGAGCAGTGTATGACGTTTTGCTTTGTTATTAAACCATGATTTGGTAATCAGAAATGTAGTTGTTTCTAGTAATGTATGTACAGTCGATGAAAAGTGAAATCTTATGGGCAAATGCCAAATCTCACTGACAAATCTAATGCAAAATACTGAGAGACAACAATTTGGGTAAACAGGTCTGTAATAATATAAACAAGAGGGCCATGGGCCACATCGCTCACCTGAGCACTATAGCTTGGAAAAAAGCAGAAATCATGCAGTTTATTATTGAAAAGTTTAAACCCTAAAGTGGTCCCAACCAATCCTTAAAGGGGAGAGGACATGATTTGAACAAACTTGAATCTACACTAGGGATGCTTGCATATTTCTTTGACTATGTATATTTCTATGTAAAATTTTGATCGACCATTGTGCCCTGCCCTACCCATGGGGGTCAGGATTTGCACAAAGCTGAATCTACACTACCTGAAGATGCTTCCATATAAATATGATCATTCATGCCTTTGCTATTCTTGACATGAAGATTTTAAAAGAATTTCGCTATATATTTCTATGTAAAACTTTGATCGGCCATTGTGGCCCCGTCCGACCCCCGGGGGTCATGATTTGAACAAACTGGAATCTAAACTACCTAAGGATGATTCCATTTTAGTTTCATCTTTCCTGGAACAGTGATTCTTGAGAAGAAGATTTTTAAAGAATTTTCCTATATATTTCTATGTAAAACTTTGATCGGCCATTGTAGCCCCGCCCTACCCCTGGGGGTCATTATTTGAACAAACTTGAATCAAGGCTACCTGTTATTGCTTCCATATAAGTTTCATCTTTCCTGGCACAGTGGTTCTTAAGGAGAGGATTTTTAAAGGAATTTCCTATATATTTCATTGTAAAATTTTGATCAGCCATTGTGCCCCGCCCGATCCCCAGGGGTCATGATTTGAACAAACTTGAATCTACACTACCTGAAGATGCTTTCCTATAAGTTTCATCTTTTTTCTAAGTAAATTTTGATCAGCCATTGTGGCCCCGCCCGACCCCTGGGGGTCATGATTTGAACAAACTTGAATCTACACTACCTGAGGATGCTTCCCAATAAGTTTCATCTTTCCTGGCTCAGTGGTTCTTGAGAAGAAGTTTTTTAAAGAAATTTCCTATATATTTCTATGTAAAATTTTGATCAGCCATTGTGGCCCCGCATGACCCCTGGGGGGTCATGATTTGAACAAACTTAAATCTACACTACCTGAAGATGTTTCCTTATAAGTTTCATCTTTCCTGGCACAGTGGTTCTTTAGAAGAAGATTTTTAAAGAAATTTCCTATATATTTCTATGTAAAATTTTGATCAGCCATTGTGGCCCCGCATGACCCCTGGGGGGTCATGATTTGAACAAACTTAAATCTACACTACCTGAAGATGTTTCCTTATAAGTTTCATCTTTCCTGGCACAGTGGTTCTTTAGAAGAAGATTTTTAAAGAAATTTCCTATATATTTCTATGTAAATTTTGATCAGCCATTGTGGCCCCGCATGACCCCTGGGAGTCATGATTTGAACAAACTTGAATCTACACTACCTGAGGATGTTTCCTTATAAGTTTCAACTTTCCTGGCACAGTGGTTCTTGAGAAGAAGATTTTCAAAACATACCACCATATTTTCACTATTTCTGAATTATCTCCTCTTGAATAAGTGCATTGCCCTTCATTTGAACAAACTGGAATCCCCTTCACCCAAGGATACTTTGTGCCAAGTTTGGTTGAAATTGGCCCTGTGGTTCTTGAGAAGAAGAAGAAAATGTGAAAAATTTAGAACGACAACGACAGACAACCAGCAAATTTTGATAAAAGCTCACTTGAGCCTTCGGTTCAGGTGAGCTACAAACAACTAGTAAAAAGTTTATCGAACAAGAGGCCCATGGGCCACATCGCTCACCTGAGCACTATGGCTAGGAAAAAGTAGAAATTGGTTTATTATTGAAAAGTTTAAATCCAAAAGTAGTCCCATGACCAATCATGGCTTTGCTATTCTTAAGAAGATGATTTTTAAAGAATTTTCCTATATATGTCTATGTAAAACTTTGGTCGGCCATTGTGGCCCTGCCCTACCCCCAGGGGTCATGATTTGAACAAACTTGAATCTACACTACCTGAGAATGCTTCCATATAAATATGATCAATTATGGCTTTGTTATTCTTGAGAAGAAGATTTTTAAAGAATTTTCCTATATATGTCTATGTAAAACTTTGGTCGGCCATTGTGGTCCCACCCTACCCCCGGGGGTCATGATTTGAACAAACTTGAATCTAAACTACCTGAGGATGTTTCCATATAAATATGATCAATTCTGGCTTTGCTATTCTTGAGAAGAAGATTTTTAAAGAATTTTCCTATATATTTCTATGTAAAACTTTGGTGTGCCATTGTGGCCCTGCCCTACCCCCGGGGGTCATGATTTGAACAAACTTGAATCTACACTACCTGAGGATGCTTCCATATAAATATGATCAATTTCTGGCTTTCCTATTCTTGAGAAGAAGATTTTTAAAGAATTTTCCTATATATTTCTATGTAAAACTTTGGTGGGCCATTGTGGCCCCGCCCTACCCCCTGGGGTCATGATTTGAACAAACTTGAATCTACACTACCTGAGGATGCTTCCATATAAATATGATCAATTCTGGCTTTGTTATTCTTGAGAAGGTTTTTAAAGAGTTTTCCTATATATGTCTATGTAAAACTTTGGTCGGCCATTGTGGCCCCGCCCTACCCCCAGGGGTCATGATTTGAACAAATTTGAATCTACACTATCTGAGGATGCTTCCATATAAATATGATCAATTCTGGCTTTGTTATTCTTGAGAAGAAGATTTTTAAAGAAATTTCCTATATATGTCTATGTTAAACTTTGGTGGGCCATTGTGGCCCCGCCCTACCCCCGGGGGTCATGATTTGAACAAACTTGAATCTACACTACCTGAAAATGCTTCCATATAAATATGATCAATTATGGCTTTGCTATTCTTGAGAAGAAGATTTTTAAAGAATTTTCCTATATATTTCTATGTAAAACTTTGGTCGGCCATTGTGACCCCGCCCTACCCCCGGGGGTCATGATATGAACAAACTTGAATCTACACTACCTGAGGATGTTTCCCTGTAAGTTTCATCATTCCCGGCACAGTGGTTCTTGAGAAGAAGATTTTTAAAACATACCACCAAATTTTCATTACTTCCCAATTATCTCCCTTTGAATGAGGGTGTGGCCCTTCATTTGAACAAACTTGAATTCCCTTTACCCAAGGATGCTTTGTGGCAAGTTTGGTTGAAATTGGCCCAGCGGTTCCTGAGAATAAGTCGAAAATGTGAAAAGTTTACAGACAGACAGACGTACAGACAGACAGACGGATGCCGGACAAAATGTGATCAGAAAAGCTCACTTGAGCCTTCGGCTCAGGTGAGCTAATAAAAACGGAAGCAGCAAGTACACCCGAATTTCGATCCTGATATCAATCGCTATGTAAGTTCAGACTTGATCGGGATCGATGTTCACTAATTGCAGTCATACTGCATGCCAAGTGGTTCTTGAGAAGAAGATTTTCAAAGATTTTTTCTATATATTTCTATGTAAAAATTTGATTCCCCATCGTCAGGCCGTGCCCTATCTCCGGGGGTCATGATTTGAACAACTTAGAATCTACACTACCCCAGGATGTCTCCACTTACGTTTCAGCTTTTCTCGTCCAGTGGTTCTTGAGAAGAAGATTTTCAAAGATTTTTCCTATATATTTCTATTTCTATATAAAACTTGGATTCCCCATTGTGGCCCCGTCCTACCCCGGGGATCATGATTTGAACAATTAGAATCTACATTACCTCAGGATGCTTCCACCTAAGTTTCAGCTTTTCTGGCCCAGTGGTTCTTGAGAAGATTTTTTAATGACAAAACCCTATTTTTGTCTTTTCTTGATTATCACCTTTTGTGATGGGACTTGGCCCATCATTTTAACAATTTAAATTTCTCTTTACCCAAGGATGCTTTGTACAAAGTTTGGTCAAAATTGGCCCCCTGGTTCCTGAGAAGAAGTCGAAAATGTGAAAAGTTTACAGATGGACAGACAGCTAGACAGATGGACGGACGACGGACAAAATGTGATCAGAAAAGCTCAATTGAGCCTTCGGCTCAGGTGAGCTAAAAACATTTTTTGTTGCACAACCCTGTTTGCTATATAAATGAATTTTGTGTAGGGCATGTACAAAGAACGAGTGCACTTATGGGCCCTGGTAAAATGTGAAAAAATAAAGAATCAAATAAAGCAAAAATTTTCATCTCAAATTATCAGTTGATATCTAAGCCATACGATTCAATAAATTTTACCACTGAAAATCATGATTATACAAAAAGCCAAGCCATACAATGTGATAATTGTCAGCCGACATTTGTGATTTTCTATAGTAAATCGAGAAGGGTCATTCATTTCTAAGCTTTTGTTTAAAGCAAAACTGGTTTAGTACGAACACGGATATAGCGAATTCATGGATATAGCAAAGTTATTTTAGATCCCCAGCTATATATGCCCTGTTCACACGGAGAGTTTAATTCGAATTAAACGTAAAGTTAATGCGAATTAGCTTCGCTTAGCGTTCACACGGAGAATTTAATGCGAATTAGTTTAATTCGAATTAGTTTACTGCACATTAAATTACTTCGCATTAGCTCCGTGTGAACGCTAATCGAAGCTAATTCGAATTTAATTTTGACGCATGCGTAATGCCAGTATTAAGTCACAGGACACATGTTGGTGGTTAGATATAGGTATTTGTGCTATATTTGGTTCAAAAATTGAGGGAAAGTATGTTAATTACTAAAATCAATGAATACCTGTAGCCACTACATGATGTATCAAAGGATGGCTCTGCACAGATGACGTGATTTACAAATGACGTCATAATAGACTTACTGACGCCTGACTGTAGAAGAAAAATTTTAATTCGCATTAGTTTACTTCGCATTAGCTGTCGTGTGAACGCAATTTAATTCGCATTAATTTGATTCGCATTAGTTTACTTCACATTAATTTACTGCGAATTAAACTCGTCGCATGAACAGGGCAATAAATTAAACAAATTCCTTACACGGATATAACGAATTATGGATATAGCGAAGTAATTTTATCGGTCCCTGTGACTTCGTTATAACCGGGTTTTACTGTACTAAGAGCCTAACGTTGTGCAAACTTGTGCGAATGACAAAAGGCGCCTTATATATTTATACAACTTGTGTGAAAGTAGGAAGTTTGCACAAGATTAGGCTGGTACCTAAAATATTAAACATAGGTAATCAGAGATTACAGAGCTCACCTCAACGAATGTTGTCTTTAAGTAAGGCAAAGTCACACAATTAACCAACAAAAAGTGTACATCCAAAAATGCAAAATTTATGCAATTTTGATTTGATACTTTGGAATAGGCCTATATAAAAACTTCAAACTAGTACTTCAACATGAAAACCTAATTAAAATCCAGCTTCTAAAGCAACTTTGAGAGTTTTCATCCCTTGATGCATCATTTGTGCAAGTTTGGTTTATATAAGCCTGATAGTTTCTTGGTAATAGATCTGCACCCATAACTTTAACCAGGTCCATTATCTGGAAAATGTATGTCGAATTCAGCATCTGAACATTAGTGTGCATCCCAAGATGTATCATCCATGCAAGTTTGCTCAAAATATAGCTCAAAGTTATTTGGAAACGAAACCTGTATAAAAAATAACCTTTTCACTAATCCAGAAAATGTATAGGTCAGATTCAGCATCTGAAGCCAGCCTGGTAGAATGCACCCTTAGAATTATAATCCATGCAAAGTTCCGGTTGAGTAAACAGATTAAAGTTTTTGGTGCAGGATTCTTCAGCATCTGAAGCAAGTCGGTAGTATGCATCCTAAGACGTACCATCCATGCATATTTAGTCATTATAGGATTCATAGTATCTTTGAAATGAAAACTGCACCAAAAACTTTAACCTGTTCACTCAACCGGAAAATGTAGCTCAGATTCAGCATCCGAATCAAGTCGGGTAGTATTCATCCTAAGATGTACCATCCATACAAGTTTGGTCATTATAGGGCTCATAGTTCTTTGAAATGAAACCTGCATCAAAAACTTTAACCTGTTCACTCAACCGGAAAATGTAAGTCAGATTCAACCTCCGAAGCAAGCCTTGTAGTACACGTGCATCCTTAGATGTATCATCCATGCAAGTTTGATCATTATAGAGCTCATAGTATCTTTGAAATGAAACCTGTACCAAAAACTTCAACCTGTTCACAAAACCGAAAAATGTAGGTCAGGTTCAGCTTCTGAAGCAAGTCTGGTAGAATGCACCCTTAGATGTATCATCCATGCAAGTTTGGTTACTATAGTGCTCATAGTTACTTGGAAATGAGACCTGCACTGAAAACATTAACCTGTTCACAAAACCGGAAAATGTAGGTCAGATTCAGCATCCGAAGCAAGCCTGATAGTGTGCATCCTTAGATGTATCATCCATGCAAGTTTGGTCAACATAGGGCTTATAGTTACTCAGAAATGAGACCTACACCAAAATCTGCTCCAAAAAAGTTAACCTGCTCCAAAAACATTAACCTGGTCATTCATTTGCTGAAATTGCAGCATCTGAAACTTTGACTGGTACTATGAAACACACTAGAAACATCTTCCATGCATGTCTCATCAATATAGGGCAGAGAAGTACTTAAAAAGAAAACTGCTCAAAAAAACTCAGGACGTCGACGGTATTACATAAGCTCCCCCAACTTCGTTGAGGTGAGCTAAAATGTTGGAATGTTAATGCACAGTGGAAAATGACTGATGAAAACGGATAGCAACAGGACACCTGAGTTCACTCAGGTCACAGTCAGGTGTCTTAAATTAAAGAAAAAACATACCAAAATCTTTTTCTTTTGGAAGAAAAGAAATATATGTAGCTCCCCATTGATGGTGGGTATTTTATTTCCCTGTTTTCACCTTCTTCATTGGATATTAGTTTACCATCATACATCCAGGTTGAATTCTCTCTTTTTATACTCTTTCAATGCAAACACTCCCTTTCCTATTATTAAAAAAAATAATTTAACACATCTTAATAAAACAAAACTTTTAAGTTATAGAGGCCTTGACAGTCACATGCACTTAATTCATAAAACTACTTTTGGGCCACTTTGACCTGGTCAGAACTCACAGTGCAGTTTAAGAGTATTAATATCTTTGCCGCATCAAAGCTCCAGAGTGTATTTTCAAATCAACGCTAATTTTGATTTTCAATGATATGGTTTCAGAGTATTTTGTTTATATATGACTTTTAGAAGAGAAAAAACAAGAAATCTGTGAGCCAATGCTCACTAGTAATACCCCCGCTCTGATGTGATTATACAATATCAAGCTAATAAACGTTACGGGTATATGCATGGAAAATTGGATTTTGATATCAGATTCATATAAAAATAAATCCCACCATACTGCATACCTCAACAAAGTATGTAATAAAACTTCAAGCATCTGTTATGATACAGTTGCTGGGAAAACTGCAACGAAAATGAAACGGACGGATACACTGACAAACAGGAATTTGACATCGGATCTGAACAAAAAATAATCCCACCAATATAGCATGCCTCATTAAAGAGTGTGCTAAAATGTCAAGCATCTGTGATTAGTAAATGAGAAAACTGTGACAAAAATTTGTTATGTATGAAACATGTATGAAATAGACAGACACACAAACAAACTGGAAGTTGACATCAGATTTAAACAAGAATAAATCCCACCATTACGTACAGACCCTGAGACGTGCTACTACCCCCAAAAAGCGTGTAACTTTCGTGCGCTTTCCGTTTCGTGTAAACCGTGTAGCGTTTCATGTAAACCGTGCAGCGTTTCATACAAACCATGTAGCGTTTTGTGTAAACCGTGCAGTGTTTCGTGTAAGCTCCAAAGCGTTTCGTGCAAACCGTGCAGCGAGCGTGTGAGAAACGTGTGACATTCGTTTAAGATCCGTGTGAGAAACGTGCGACTTTCGCGCAAGAATCGTGTAAGAAACGTGTAAGATTCACTCAGAAGTCGATTTCATTTTTATTAATATGGCTATCGATTGACCAGGATGTCAAATTGTGTTAGTATTTTATTATTTGAATTAGCTATTCTTCTGGGTTTTTTTTAGGAGTTAAAAAATGGGAACAACTAAATGAAATTACACGGTAATGTATAATACATTTGTTTGCGTTTTTTTTCCTTATAAAGAAAATGTGTTCAAATTAATTAATTACATGATATATATGTACAAGAATTTTAAGTGCAATGAGTAAAATATACTATCAATGCGATCATGGTATTTAAATATTTTTCTCAAAGAAAGAAATATGTACTAGTTTTCATTCATATGGACATATATTTATTTTAAGCAGAAATATATCCTCTTTTGTCTTTACATTTAAAGTATTTGATAGAAAGTTCTGAAACGATGTGTCATTGAATACCTTTTAATAAATACATTTTCTTCAATATTAT